CGTGTAAACGAGGCGTTTTGCCTGCATGGCGACCCCTCCGTCAATTACGGTCGAAACGGTGGACACGGTCCAACCGTCGTGGTCTAACCGGAAGTCGGACTACGAGCTGAAGGACCTGATAGGTGAGTGTGTCGTGTTGTTGCATCCGGTCCTTCCGTGGCAGTGACCTTCAACTTTACTGTGTGCTTTCGTTCAGGTATCGGCGCCACAGCGTCCGTCTATTCAGCAGTCTATCTGCCGAGGAACGAAAAGATCGCGATCAAGCGAATCAACCTTGAAAAGTGCAACACCAGCATGGATGAACTTCTGGTTCGTGTGTAGTAGAAGGCTATTCAGCGAAATTTGCTTTACGCAACTGTTGCTTGTTTCTAGCACGAAATACAAGCCATGAGTCAGTGCAATCACGAGAACGTGGTTAACTACTACACGTCATTCGTTGTCGACGAAGAACTGTGGGTAGTCATGAAGTTGTTGTCCAGAGGTACGAGTAGCTTGGACCGTATGTGTGTCGTACCATCGCCATTCATTGAACTTAACTTGTAGGGCAAAGGCAGCAGGTTAAACGTATGATGTCTGTAGCATGGCAAACGGCAAACAGATCATAACAGTCTGTTGTGAATGACGTTTATCGTTGACACTTTTTTGAGCCTTGAAATTGCGGTAGAGATTCTCCTAGCAAAGTAAAACAGTATATAATCACATTATTCTGGAATACCTTCAGCGAGTAGGAACTTTCAGTACCGCCGCTAAATATGACATTTCAAATGTTGATACTGACTTTACACGGCGTATCGTGTGAATGAAGGTGATTTTTCCCTTACTTTGCGTTGGTGCTGTGGTAGTGTATGAGCGATAGAAGACTTTACATCGGGTTGTACCACAGTATTGCGCCGCCCTTTTGTTTCTCGTTGTCTGGGTGGAGAGGGCATTTCACGGTCTCTTCTGCCTAGAATAGACCTTACTACAGCTGATGTCGGAGCGTGAGAGCATCAGCAACCAGCATCAGCACTTAGCCGATGATTCTGGAAACGATGTTTCGTTAAATAAGGTGCCGGTTTTTCTATTCAGACCACTCGACTTATGCAAACGAATCGAACTACCGAATTTACCCAATTACCGAAATGTGAATTAGTGCGGTTATCATACCTAATGCAAAACTCGTTTTGTCACAGATGATGCAAATTTGTTTTATTTTGCGTTGACCCTTAAGTCCTGAATTAGTGCTTCTAAATTGTACTGGATATTATTCAGTTTTTTCTTCGCAATTACTCTGAAAGTGGAGTACGCCGATCTGATCTGCTTTCTGGCTCGTTATCAAGGCGACTTATTTGTGTCTCTGTGAGATGCAGATCATCCTGAAGAACAACTAGAAATTTACCATTAGTCGGCGACCAACGTAAAGGTAGCCGACGATAATTCAGATTGGTAATATCGTTGCTGAACGACTTCGTGAACCACTCACTTTTTCTGCTATAGCTGGTGGGAAATAGCTGGCGACTTTATATTGAATAGTCATTTCTAAAACTGATGAATGAC